GACTGTGTGATAGAGATACGCTGTGTGACAGTGACAATAATTGCATAAGAGAGAGGCACTGTGTGTGATAGAGATACGATGTGTGACAGTGACAATATTTGTATAAGATAGTGACACTCATGACTGTGTGATAGAGATACGCTGTGTGACAGTGACAATAATTGCATAAGAGAGAGGCACTGTGTGTGATAGAGATACGATGTGTGACAGTGCCAGTAATTGTATAATATAGTGACACTGTGTTATAGAGATACGATGTGTGACAGTGCCAGTAATTGTATAATATAGTGACACTGTGTTATAGAGATACGCTGTGTGACAGTGACAATAATTGTATAAGACAGTGATAGTGTGTTACAGAGATTGGTGACGATCAAAATTTAAAGACGACATACAGCCCATGGTCTGATATTTTACCGACGCGTCAGACAATTAACACAACGGGATAACCTCAAACAACAGGTTCTCGCCGGAACTTGGACACAATATTCATGTTTGGCTTCATCCCTTCGTAATATAATTAGGTTTTGGTGTAAATCTCTTGTGTGTTAGTAATAGGATTGTATTAAATAATTGATTATATATGTAAAATGCGTTATTAGTATAATATTATGTAAGTGTGATAGTATGTACTATTTTTATGTTCTTGTGTCAAGAGTGAGTGAATATTGTCTTATTACGCAGTCAACATTATTACGACTATGCTTGTAAAATAACGGGATTTGTTAAAGTACATGTGAATCATAGCAGGTGTAGGCATCCACATTCTTTGGATTCGGTGGCACCAGGCCAGGTCACATACTTCAACCAACCGTTCCCAGTCGGATGTTACAGGTCTTGGTTATAAGTGGCCTATCCTGCCCCTGTATTAGGTACGGCTACTGCGTTTCATAGATAGTCGTTGCCAACAGAATGTCCAATTATGCGGAGATTGTTTGTGTGATAATTGACGGTATAGAAGAAACCAGGAGGCCATGACTAAGTTTAAGTTAGAATGTTTAAGGAATATACGAAAGGCAACTAAATACATGAGATTCGGGGGCACGAATAACCCAGTCGTCCAAGGTGCCGATATTAGCCCTGTAGAGTTGCGTCCCTTTGGCCTGCCAGGAATCTATAATCCCAGTTTCGAATCGAAGTTCTATGTTTCAAATTGAAGGTTCTTTCAGTTCCATACTCGTGGTCGTGTGTTTCACTTAAGTGGTAAAAGTGTAAGATCTGAATCACTGAATACAGGGGCACGGGTGGCCCAGTCGTCTAAGGCGCCGCGAATCGCTGTTCAGAGTTGCGTCCCTTGGGCACGCCAGAAATCTATGATTGTGGGTTCGAATCCCGGTTCGCCCCGATTATGTTTCTAGGTTTGTCAGCACCACACCCGTGCTCGTGGGTTTCACCGAACTGGTAAACGTCTGAGACCTGCAACACTTCGGGCTTTCCTCCCACATTAAGCTGACACTCCGCGATATAACTGGAATACTGTTAAAAGCGGCGTTAAACCCAACTCACTCACTCACTCATATTACAATCTGACACTTCGTCATATAACCAAAATACTGTTGAAAGTGGCGTTACACTAACCTCACAGGGTTGACGTTTTGCTCAAATTAATTTTCAAAATGGTTCGGTTCAGTAAGGCAATGGTCATGACAAGATGGTTTAACTCCAACACTTTTACTTTGACGTCAGTAAATAGATTTGTTTAACGAAATGCAGGAAGTTTATAAATAACTTCAAACTAAAAAGTCAATTACAGTGGGTGAGGTCCGCCAGTTCGGTCGCGGCAATTATGTGCACACCTAAATAGCATCCTCTGTAAGAGGGAAACTTTCTTAGCTCCTGACTGCAATGTAAATATAGAACGTCAGCGCCAGAGAAAAATCAGCCTCGATTATCTGCCGAAACAGATTCCACTGGGCGTAAAAGGCAAAATGGTGGTTACAATTATATGAATGGATCACTGAAATTCAGTAATGACACCCGGTGTTTGCGAAAATGTTCAGCATGTCTTGCCCTACCGGTAGCAGCCGCCACCCACAAGCTACATACTTAGTTTCCTACCCCCACACAGCAGGACTCATACCGTACGAGGGCGGCCTGTAAACAAATGCGTCTTCACCAGACAATCCAGAGACACAACAGCGCGTTTACGGATTTCGAGAGAGAGAGAGAGAGAGAAACAAACAAACAAACAAACAAACAAACAAACACAAACACACACACACACTTACACTTACTAACACTATAGTGTCACATGTTAAATACACTTCATACTAAAACACATACACGAACAATAAAATATAACATCCGACCAGGTATGGCCTACGAGAAATAAAAGCAAATTATAACGTCATAATCTGGATAAAGTAAAATAAGACATATACTAACACAATGTTTAAAATTAAGGTTGGGTTCTGAACACGCACGCTCGCACGCACACGCACACACACACACGCCAAATTACTTATAAAGTCACGCACGCAATCATACACAAACATGTAGATACCCACACACCCACCCCACACCATACCACGCACACACGCACACACACACGCACAAGTACACGCACACACAAACACACGCACGCACACACACATACCATACGTACATTATACCACACACACACCATACGTACATTATACCCCCCCCCCACACGCACGCACTCACCACGCACCCCCCCCCCCCCCCCTACACACACACACACACACACGCACGCACGCACACACGTACACATACACCATACGTACATCTTTTTGTGGGAATATCTACATGCATCATAGATTATATATCTACATGCTATATGCTATGTATCAACAAGTGATTTCATCAGGCGTATAATTATTAAATAATAAAAAACAGAGTCCAGATATTCGTGCTTGTCAAAACTCCTTTATGCACACAAGATCTTTCGCCGTTCAACAACGTTCAATATATATAATTTAGCATTCCATTCTGGAAGATCCGGGGTAGAATAAGTCAATGTTTAGAGGTACATTGAACCGCAAAGGTGTGTAACAAACTGCATAAACAGGCATGATAAATGTAAATAATTTTTAATTACTTCGAATTCCTTTGACATGTTTTACAGAATGAACATATCATGTAACCCATCGGCAATATGTTTCCTAGAACACTGAAAACACGGGTTACAATGAAAGTGTGTTCTTCCTTTCTAAATATCATACTTGGAAAGGGAAATGGTGTTGTTTTACTCAGATAAGGTCATCCTTGTTTTCAAGAAATGAACAATGCTTTGTAATAATGCTATTCTGACAATTTCGGATCTAATCGGTGCAACATGTCCGCATTCTCGATAATATCAATCTATATTTGTCTCATGACGTCAGTACAAAATCCGGAGGTGTTTTGTTAGAACACTGTAAGTACTGTAATTTCAACTGTGATTTCATCAATATATACCAGCTTTTACGAATGAGTATGTAAGTTTCATAAGTTTGGGAACATTTTGCCAAAACTGGATTTAAGGTAACGAGAAATACACTTTATTACAGGGTTTAAAATAATGACACTGTTGTCGGGAGAGTTACACCATTCAAAATGTACCTGACGTTGCAAGACGCAGGTAAGAAAATGTGAAAACACAAAAGGTTTACATACATCCACGAACAAAAAAACGCTGCGCTGCAATCTTGGAAATGAATTATAGCATTTGATAAGAGTTTCCACGGGAGGATTTCATGTATGAATGCTGCTAAGTGCATAGTATTGGTTTTCACATATAAAAGCGGAATAAAAGAAAAGGAGAACTGGGCCCTGTTCCACAAAGCGATCTTAGCGCTAAGTCGGTCGTAACTCCCATTCTTTAACACTGACTTACGACAATCGTAGCGCTAAGATCGCTTTGTGGAACGGGGCCCTGGTACCATGACATTTAATATTTGTTTCAGTGAAATATTAAAAGAACGTGCTAAATTAGTTAGACCACGGTAGCGTCCATCTCTAACAAAACGAGTCCATGGGCCTGGAGATATTTATACTTGTGGCAGTGATAAATAAAAGCGACAAAAACATTTCCATAATCGTAAGAAATCTCTTCCAAAAGCAGCGTCCAAAGAAAGATTCCAACTATATCAACCATGTGTAATGAATCACTTTTAAACCGGGGGCACGGGTGGCCCAGGCGCTCGGGGGTTTCACCGAAGTGGTAAACGTCTGAGACCTGCATCACTTCGGGCTTTCCTCCCACACTAAGCTGGGAAGTAACTGGGATACTGTTAAAAGAGGCTTTAAACCCTACTCACTCACTTAGTTACTATAATGAGTCCATGCGGGCAGTCGCCTAATATAAGGAGTTGCAATTCGCTCATCCTCGTCCCATACCCGTGCCAGAAACTTATGATGGAGTTCCGGTTCGCCCAAGTTTTTGTTTCTTGGTTTGTCAGCACCAAACCCGTGCTCGTGGGTGTCACCAAAGTGGTAAATACATCGTCAAATCGGGCTTTCCTCCGACATCAAGCTTACACGCCATGTGCAATACTGTCCAAAGCAACATTAAACCCAGCTCATTCACTTACTCTTTGGCATACACTGAACAACACAACCTATGATTGTGGGTTCGAATCCTGGTTCGCCCCGATTATGTTTCTAGGTTTGTCAGCACCATACCCGTGCTCGTGAGTTGCACCGAAGTGGTAAACGTCTGAGACCCGCATTACTTCGGGCTTTCCTCCCACATTAAGCTGACACGCCGTGATATAACTGGAATACTGTTAAAAACGGCTTTAAACCCATTTCACACACTCACTTTTAAATCGTGATGATGTCACGTAAAGGGGAGCGAATCATTTTCAAGCATTGCCACCCGTCACAAATTCATGCAAGAGTAAGTCAGTTATTCACCTGAAAAAAACAACCACGGGAACATTTGGTGCAAGTCTACAAATACAAGTAAAAAATACACATTGTTAGCTCATACAAACGCCGTTGCATCAAACGCCGTTTTGAGCTGTTTTTCATTTTCCCCTAGAGGTCATGTCTTTGTTTTGGTTCCGCCTGTGTCGTCACATATATTCAGCTTCCTGTTTCGGACATGATAGCCAGATGAAGTTGGCCAGTGTAACTGGCAGTCAGCATAAGCAGGATGTACGGCTCTCGCGGATGGTGCCTCATCGCCATGGTCTGTGTCGTTAGCGGTGAGTACTTGCTTCCATATGTAAATTTGTCCTGCATCTCTCTGTTTGTAAGTGTGTACCATTCACGCGTATTGATACTGCATTACTTGTATTCCCATATATCCATCCATCTTTAATTGTCGTGCTATCATGAGGACTCCTTCCACCAACATACACCAACCCACCCCCATCAACAACAACAGAGAGAGAGAAAGAGAGAGAGAGAGAGAGAGAGAGAGAGAGAGAGAGAGAGAGAGAGAGAGAGAGAGAGAGAGAGAGAGAGAGAAAGAGAGAGGGAGACAAACAAACAAAGAAACAAACAAACAAACAAACAAACAAACACACACACACACACACACACACACACACACACTTACACTTACTAACACTCCCCCCCCCCCCCCTCCCAAAGTCAAATAATTGATGATTTATACTACTGGATTCGGAGGAAGAACATAATTTATATTCACTATTTGAACACATGCTCACGATATGGTGCATGAAGTGCGCAGTGTGTTTACATACCTTATGTTCCATTGTCGGATGTTTGGCAATCACATTCACTATCAATGTCAAATTTGACTTTGGTATTATAAATATAGAGGAATGTAATCACTGACGTTTCAGCAAAATATTAGTCATACGGAATACAAAATGAACTCACTAACATTCTTGTACCTAATTAAAACGCGATTTATATGAACATGAGCAATTACACCACTTCATATTCATGAAAACCAACATTTCATATTCAAAATGAAAGCGTGATTTATTTCCGTCTATTTTTAGGGGTAAGACGAGAAAGATACGGGAATCTTTTAACTGTCATTCTTATTACGCTAACTTGAAATATTGTGTAGTAAACCACAACATTTCACGTGACACATGAAACTATTGCCGGCCCTGAAATATGATACGATACGAGAGCGTTATGTACACTGAAGTAGAGATATCCTATATGCAAATGCGTTATCAGTCAAAGTGCAGATATGATAAGACATTCCTAGGCGTTATACAGCATTTATGCGCAATGAAATCGGCGACATTGGCAACATATATTCTCTCTGGACCCGATAATAAAATCCCATAAGCAAAGCCCATAAGCAGACTCTGTCAAGTGGTGAATGTTTACACGTGCTGTGGGTAATTACGTAATAGAGATCCATTACCAAAGTCCTTGTTGACATTGTATCAAATTCTGCCGAAGCAGTATCATAAAATTTAACCTTATTCAACTAATGTACCATCAAAATCGGATGTTTATTACTCAATCCTTCGATTGTAATACATAAAGTGCTGGTTAACGAAATGGGCTGTGCTGCTTGGAGAGGTATATTTTCTATTTGTTTTGTTAAATAACGATGACTAGTACCTACATGTATTTACTAAGAGGATCTCCTGGTCACAATATATATTTAATGTTTACTACACATACATATGATGTGATATCGTGTCACTTATCAAGGGATTCGAGGAACAATAACATTGCCTTTACCCACGTAGCACCAGCTGAAATTCGCGCATCCCTGTTCTTGGCAAAACATATTGAAAATGTCCCGACAAATACGCTGAGCGGAGTGCTGCATGCCGTGCATCCATTAAGCACAGGTAAATTTAATCATGGACTGCTGCATCCTGCTAGTAATGAGTAAGTGGTGTGATGAAATAGCTGGTTGGAGCGATCACCTTGTCCGTTGCGTACTGTTAATGGAGAGCATCGGCATCTGCAAAATATCTGGCGTTTCATTATCTTCGTGATATCCGTCTATCCTTCCCACTGCATTCCGGATATGTTTTTTTCCTGACATGGACACGTGCCAGTTATAGGTGCGAGTATGTATTACCTTAATTACGGCATAGACGTTTTAATCAACACCACGGTACAACCCTGAAAACTCGAACGATCGAAATATGGTTTGTTGTCTGTGGTTCGCGATGCACAAATTGTCAGTATCGGACCATGGGGTGCTCATACGGATTCTGACAGGAATAAAATGTAAAAAATGTTATATAAAGATATATTAAGTTTATGAAGTTCGGGTAATTATTTTTTTGAATAAGGAATACAAAACACAAGGAGTTAACAGAAGAAGTTGGATTGCTAACATTCGTTTGGCTAAAAAATAAAATATGCTATTTTAGTATGAACAGGATTTAGGACACAATCAAACCCAGACTTTAAGAGTAAATATCAAATACTACTATGACATGACTTTTAGGAGTGACCTTTGAGAACAATAATCACGTTACTGTTCCTCGTTTGTAAAGGTCACTGCTGTGTATGGCAATACTGTATGTTGTATGCTGTTAACGTATTTGTCGTTTTCAAAACACGAAATAGGTCAATGAATTTAATTTGATTTTACATCACAGTGGCTTCTTTATTACAACCAGTTTAAAGGGAGAAAAGGAGGATCTGTGCTATATTTATATTATTGTCTTTTTCCTGTACTTACACAGGCCTGTGATATTTCTTACGTGGGTGTAGGAAATAGTTTAAAATAAATATTTTCGTTAGCCTCGCATGATTAAACTGTGGAGCTCTGTACGTCATGGTACTGGTACTTACTTTGGAGATTTAACGTGCGCTTTCCGACTGATGCGTATTTCGCACACGGGTGGTACTGGTATTTGGATTTCTGATTTGTAGTCAGAAGTCGCTACTCTCTTTAAAGAGCGTGTTCCAAATTACAATCTCATTACTGCGTAAAATGTGTTCACCCCCGAATTCATTACAGTGTGAAATTTGTTCACCCCTAGCATAAAATCTTGAGATGCCCCCCTAATCCCCCTATTGTTTGATCAATTAGTACGCCTGGGCGATTTTACTACTAGGACAAAAGGTGCCGGACAAGTAGGATGCTCCCCACTGTACAAATGAGTTTGAATAATACTTCGCTGGTTTGGTGAAATGAAAGTCAATTGAGCTCATGTCATGGGTTGGTTGTCGGGCGTCCAGTGTTGTCAGCGTCTGTAAACATCTTCTCCCAATAAATCTGAAACATCACAGGCTTGTTTCCACAAATGATGACACCTCAATTTGTTTCAAGAGTTTCGAATCCGATTTGTAATATGGCCTCCACGGCGGTCATATTAAAAAGATATTCATGGTAATTCCTCAAATAATTAAAAAACTCCCCCTAAAACTACTCCAGGCACTACTCAAACTATACAATCTCATCTACCTAAACGGACAGGTTCCTACTCCCTGGAAACAGGCCCTAGTCATACCAATCCCTAAACCTAATAAACCAGCTAATCAAGCTAACTCATATAGACCAATATCCCTAACTTCAAACTTATGTAAAGTAATGGAATCAATGGCTAAAAATAGATTACAACATTACTTAACCCAAAATAACATCATAAACCCAGATCAAAGCGGTTTCACTCCTGGCCGCTCAACCCTAGATAACCTCGCCCGACTAGAACAAGATATTAAGACAGGACAGCTAAATAAACAATATACCACAAGCATCTTCTTAGACTTCTCTAAAGCTTTCGACATGGTATGGCACGATGGGCTAATACAAAAACTTAAAAAAATAGGACTCAAAGGTCAGATAATAAACTACATCCAGGACTTCCTAAACAATCGTAAAATAACCGTGGGTATAGACCAAACTCTATCGGACCAATGTCCCCTAGAAAATGGTACTCCACAGGGCAGTATCCTCAGCCCCACCCTCTTCAATATAATGATAAACGATCTATTCGAGGGCCTATCCCCTAAAGTAAACACATCAAAATTCGCGGATGATGGAGCCATCTGGATCCGCACTAAAAGCATGAACATGGTCCAAAATTTACTCCAAAAATCTCTTAATAAAATACAACAATGGGCTGACAAATGGGGCTTCTCCCTTAACTCAGAAAAAACAACAGGAATAGTATTCAAACATAAAAACATGAAACCCGCCTCCCCAATCCTCCAGCTAAACAATCAAACAATCAAATTTCATAAACAAACCAAATTCTTAGGACTTATTTTCGATGAACATCTCACCTGGGATACTCACATCCAAAACCTAAAAACTAAATGCAGTAAAGACCTAAACACCCTAAAATGCCTAACTGGCTCTAACTGGGGAGCATCCAAAGATACCCTCCTCTCTCTCTACATATCACTAATTACATCAAAACTAGACTACGGCTGCGCCATATACAACACCCTAAACAACTCTCTATCTAAAAAACTTGACTCAATACAATATCAGGCTCTCAAACTAATTACACGCACCCAACATGGCACCTCCTACACCTCACTTCAGGCCTTAACAGGAGAAATGCCACTAAGTCTACGCAGGGAACAGCTAAGCTTAAATTTCTGGGCCGCGTCCCAATCAAACCCTCTCATCCAAAACTTAATAAACCAAAACATCAGCCCCAAAAACCAAGCTCTAGCTCGTAAACACCCCTTACTTACCCCAATATCCCAAAGAATAACAAACTACCTAAATGAACACCAAATTAAAAATCTTAAACAAAACTGCAAACAATCAAATATCTTTACCCCTAAACTTAAAATACCCAAAATAGACACAACACTAGCTAGCCAAATAAATAAACAAACCGACCCAAACATAGCTAAAACTACCACACTAGCATACATACACGAAAATTGGCCAAATTGGTGTCACATTTACACGGACGGATCCTCAGATCCGACCTCCAAACACACAGGTTTCGGAGTCCATACCACACAACCAACTAAAACCACACAATCCTTCCGACTCCCAAACAACCGATCAATATTCACGGCAGAACTAATGGGCATGGCCTCAGCCCTCCATAATCAAGAATCCAAAAACCACAAAAAAATCCTAATACTTACCGACTCCCTAAGTGGACTGCAAGCCCTCCAAAACAAAAATACCAAAAACCGACCTAAATTAATAAATCAAATACTTAAAAGCTCCAACGACCTAACTAAGGCAGGCAAACAAATAACCTTCTTGTGGATACCCGCCCACGTAGGAATATACGGTAATGAAAACGCCGATAAAGCAGCTAAACTATCCCTCAAAATCCCAGAAATAAGCTTAAACTTACCCATCTCAAAATCAGAAATTAAAAGTGTAAACAAGCAAAAAATCACCAAAAAATGGCATAACCTATATCTAAACTCAAATAGCCAAATCAAAAAAGTGCTCAGCAAACCACTAACCAAACCAAAAATTCTCCATCCATCCAAAAAAATCGACAGAGTAATCACTAAACTCCAAACAGGACACACCAACCTAAATAACCACCTAAAAAAATTTAAAAAACACACTACAGGTAACTGCCCACACTGCAAACAACCAGAAACCCCAGAACACGCACTCATCCACTGCACACACTACCTAACACATCGAACCGCATTACAAACCACCCTCAATCTAAACAAGGCTCTAACTCTAGAAGCAATACTAAACCCACAAAATAAACTAGAAAACTTCAAGGCCTTAGGCGTATTCTTAATAAAAACGGAACTAATAAAACGCATCTAAAAACACAATAACCTACCAAATCAAAATCACATAAACAAACAAACATCCACCATACCCAGCTCCCTTAGTTCTCCTCCCCAATCCAATCGGCATCTATTCCAAATCTCAAAATTCCCAAATTCTATATAAGCAACCCCTAAAACCCCCCTCTTGGGTTGCACAGACCACCTTCGCCCCTTTCGGAAACACATTAAATGGCCTGGCCGGGCCCGTGTGCGAAATACGCATCAGTCGGAAAGCGCACGTTAAATCTCCAAAGTAAGTAAGTAAGTAAGTAATTCCTCGTTCATATTTGTCCAAGCTGTAATGAAATGTCGTCACGCCGAAGACCCGAGTTCGATTCCCGACATGGGTACAATGTGTGAAGCCCATTTCTGGTGTCCCCCGCCGTGATATTGCTGGAATATTGCTAAAAGCGGCGTAAAACCATACTCACTCACTCACTCACTGTAATGAAATGTGGTACATATGTAGTGCGTCTCAACGTGTATATTATGCTTTTTGCGATATTTCAACTGTTTACCTTGATTTGACATTTGCACATCAACCACACAGAAAACCGAAGCTTCTTATGGCCTCTTCTCTGCCACTTTCGTTCCAAATGTACTGGTATTTGTATTTTTAGTACTGGTATTTGTATTGTTAGTAGACCCGTGAAGATCCGGGTTAGAATAGGTCTTCAGCCACCCATCCTTTCCGTAAAAGGCGACTCTGCTTGTAGGAAATGGCGACGATGCTTGTTGAGAGTAGGCGACTAACGGGATCGGGTGGTCAGGCCCGCTGACTTGGTTGATCATATCCCAATTGCGTGGATCGATGCTCATGATGTCAATCACTGGATTGTCTGGTCCAGACTCGATTATTTACAGACCGCCGCCATATAGCTGGAATATTGCTGAGTGCGGCGTAAAACAACAATAAAGCATGTATTGTTAGCAGTGGGATCTACATGTACAGGTACATGTGTGTGTTCGATTTTTTCTATCCTGTTCGCACGTCGAGTTATACTGTGAGCCACACCGTCGTGGTCTAAAGACATATTTTATTGTTACACACAGGATTTTCATCGTAATTAATTCTTTGTGTGAACTCGTAATGATAAATCAATTACATGTGTCACTAGCCGGGTGTACATGAGTTTGTATAGTATTACGTTCTTGTAGGTGCACTGTATTCGGTGGTGTTATGTCAACTCATGAACTATTTGGCCTCGTGATGTGCAATCATACGTACCTTGCTTATGTCACGTGTCACTATTATTCTCAAAAGTTAACGTTTTGGTGTGTTAGCTAAAGAATGCTGTCTTAGTGACACTGTGTACACCTGATGAAAATTATGTTGTCAAAAATGCCTGCCCCCAAAGCATTAGACTGTTTCAACATTTCCAGTGCCAAGCTGCCTGTTTACGCAAGTCATGTGTAATATGCCATTATTTCAGAGCTGTAATTCACTTTGAAAGACGGGCGGTGGGGTAGTCCAGTGGTTAAAGCGTTGACTTGTCTCGCCGAAGACCCGGGTTCGAATCCCCACATGGGTACAATGTATGTGAAGCCCATTTTCCGGTGCCCCCTGCCATGATATTGCTGGACTATTATTAAAAGCGGCGTAAAACCATACTCACTCACTTTAAAAGGAGCACAAATATTTCAGTGTTTCATATTATCCAAATACGCATTACATGGCAACATGTTGGTGTTTTTTCTTAAGAACTGTATTGATATGTACACAGAAGACGAATTATTTTGTTAAGCCATAATGTACACGACATCTTATCAAAAATAATGTAAATTATCAGTTATCAATGGACACTCTGCTTCTCTCGAAATTTTCAGTCGTCCCAATGACTTCAAGCTAATGCCATTGAATGACATTTTATCGGATGAGAAGAATGCTCAAACGATAGACCAGGCAAACCTGACAAGACCACAATACACCAATGTTGAACTTTGTTACATTATTTATAATAGGCATTTAGGAAGTCAATGAATGTAGACTGACATTGTTCTGTACAGTGAGTGAGTTGGGTTTAACGCCGCGTTGAACAGTATTCCAGTAATATCACGGCGCGTCAGCTTAATGTGGGAGGATAGCTCGAAGTGATGCAGGCCTCAGACGTTTACCACTTCGGTGAAACCCCCGAGCACGGGTATGGTGTTGACAAACCTAGAAACATAAACGGGGTGAACCGGGAATCGAACCCACAATCCTAGGTTTCTGGCGTGCCCACGGGACTCAACTCTGCACAGCGAATCGCGGCGCCTTAGACAACTGGGCCAGCCGTGCCCCCTTGTTCTGTACAGAAGGCAGAAGGGGTTCATATCTACAAAACGACCTTTTGTATGATGCAACATACACCTGGTGTCATCACTGATTTTCAGTGATCAATTCGTACAATTTTGACCGCTATCGTGCCGTGTGCGCCCAATGCAATCTGTTTCGGAAGGTAAATGAGACTGGCTATTCTCTGGGCGCTGACGTCTTATATTTACATGACATTTTTGTAGAATTCAATAGTTATGGTTAGTCACGCGTCTCAAAATTATATGTAGCAGGGCGTGGTGTCATCCCACAGATGACATCCTAACCTTGTCAGCTTCCTGACGGGGTTAACCTCTTTGGTCATGTGGACAAGGCGCCCGACCTCTGATCAGATGGTCCGTGATTCGGATCCAATCGCGGGACTGGGCGCCCAACGTGGGGCTGAGCACGTTCATATTAAATTTGAGCAAAATAAGCCTCAGTACCCTACTATGCGGCCCGGGACGTGCCTTCTGTTGAAGGGGGAGTATGTAGCAGGCGTGGTGTCATCCCACAGATGACATCTTTACCTTGTCAGCTTTGTCTTTGGTCCGACCTCGGATCAGAAGGTCCATTGTTCGAATCCCATCAAGGGGCTGTTAAAAATTTTATGGCCGCTACATATATAAATGGAATATTGTTCAAAGCGGCACTCACTCACTCACTTCCACTCTGTATTTCAGGCATAGAAGATGTGATGGTATTTGTGACAGACAAGTCCAAAGAAGTAGCTGGTCAAATTCACCGTATCAACGTGACGTCATCAGCCGTCTCTACACTTCCATTGTTTAAAGTTATTAGGCCTGTCGCTATTGGGTATGACAGCTTGACGGAAAATATCTACTGGAGTGACGTCATGTCTAAAGAAATCCGGTCAGCCAAATTTGATGGCTCCAAAGAGGCAACACTGTTGGATCTCGATACAAGTAAGTGCAAACGTTAAATAATCCTGCCTCATGAAGTCGGTGAAAAATAATGATGATACCATTTCAGATTTGAATATACATTGGATGGTTATCGTTGCCACTATACAGTGAAATCCCCAGCCCTCGAACATTCGGAAATATGTCGTGTTATCCGTCCTTCGAGTTATAGAAGTTCAACCTCATGTATGTGTCAGGGATACCTTTTTTTCCCCGTCCATGTTATTGACAATGAATAAACGTTTCATCACAACTTTTGAGGGTCAGTAATATTACTTCTTACCCATGTGGGAATCCGGATAGAGGGTATCAAACGTTCTGTAATGCTCTTGTGAATTATGTTTTTTTCTATGAATAATTCGTTTTTTCATTGGTTGTCGGTTTGATTTGATTTAGGTAAGAAAGAGAATAACCACCACGAATCTCGGAATTACGGTGTGTGTCTTTCCCCCGGGAGTTAATGTTATAAATCGCTCACATGGGACCTGTCACATGGATTCCTTTGGGAAATATGGAATCCGTTATTTCTCGAGGCTACGTAATGTTATTCTCATAGTCAAAATTCCACATTATGCCACTGTCGGAGCCGTTCCACTGAGCAAAGGGCGATGGGGTAGGCTAGTTGTTAAAGCGTTAGCTCGTCACGTCGAAGACCTGGATTCGATTCCCCAAATGGGTACAATGTGCTAAGGCCATTTCCTGTGTCCTGCCGTGATATTGCTGGAATATTGCTTAAAGCGGCGTAAAACCATACTCACTCACTCCACTGAGCAAAATAAGCGATGTGATCGTCCTAACAATTGTCAATTGTTTATTGTATATTACAATTGCCCTTATTATGTCAAAGTATTGAAGTTGTAAATCATGTGCTGTGTAAGAAGCCTTACGGGGACTAACATTGTACAAGCGCAGCGAATAAAAGAACGTACAAGCAAAAAGTCTGCCAGTGAGTTTGGGTTTAACCGCACACCAGTCACCTGAGGGTTTGACAAATTAATGTGGGAGGAATGACGAAAGTACTTACTTACTGAAAGTTATCCGGGTCATCTACTTACCATAAACCGGTAGGAAACTGCGTGAACAGTGTCATTACCTTCCCTCTGTCATTTACGTGGGTGGTTTAGGATTAACATAGGATATTGCCGGTGTCACGAAATATATTCGCCCACAGAATAAAATCCCCCCCCCACCCCCCACCCCCCCCCCCCCCCCCCCCCCACACACACACCCGGCGAATTTATACCGGTACAGTTCCGCTACTCTCGAAATAAACTCTCCCCTACCCTACGAAATAAAATCCCCCCCCAGAATATTTCCTCCCCCGGTCGTTTAATAAATACTTGCCATGCAGTTCAATAGTTGCCAAACACTTCTGATAGAGACGATGTTGAGAATATGAAGTATAAAGGGCTTTACTTTGTGTTTTCTTTAACTACCGCAATATGAGACGATAAAATAGTATATAGTTAGATATAATACTAGTCGTTAGATATAGAGAATGTTTAGTAATTTTAGAAGTTCTAGGACAGTTATTAACACGTGTCGTGTCAGCCCTATGACATTCGCGATTGTCCACTTACAGAAAACATCTTGTGTTGGTTTAACATGAATTAGTAAAGGTTAATTAGGGATGCCCAACACGTTAATTAATGAAAGACGAGTAGTCAAAACACTGTCATTTCCTGCCCAGGACATCACACCCCTTCACGCTAAGGTCGGTGAGAAACATTCTCATCAAAGAAAACACACAGTGAAGACTGTAGATTCTCGTCGTCTAGCTACAAATCATGTGATGTATTAAAGGTTGAAGAATTTTGAACTGAACTAAAGCAAAACGCGACTACAAATATTTAAACATAGCCCACGAACTAAACCACCAGGTTCAAAAACTAGTCCAAATAGCCAAAAGTAGAGACTGGAAAAAATTCTGCGAAGGTATAAATAACCGTACAGATGCCAGAACGGTCTGGCGCAAAATCCACGCCATCAGAGGCTTAAAACGACATAAAAAAACCCCTAACATTGACAACTCAACCAACCCCGCCCAAAAAGCAAATAATCTCGCCAACCACTTTTCGGCCGTTAGCAGTAACACCAACTTCAGTAAAAAATTCCAAGATAAACTTAAAACAGAAAACAAACCCACAAAAGAACCAAACAATAACAATCTAGAAATAAATCAACCCTACACAATGGAGGAGCTCCTCTACGTAATCCAAAACAGGAAAAAGGGCACAGCCCCAGGATTAGACCTAACTTCTTACCAAATAATTAAAAAACTCCCCCTAAAACTACTCCAGGCACTACTCAAACTATACAATCTCATCTACCTAAACGGACAGGTTCCTACTCCCTGGAAACAGGCCCTAGTCATACCAATCCCTAAACCTAATAAACCAGCTAATCAAGCTAGCTCATATAGACCAATATCCCTAACTTCAAACTTATGTAAAGTAATGGAATCAATGGCTAAAAATAGATTACAACATTACTTAACCCAAAATAACATCATAAACCCAGATCAAAGCGGTTTCACTCCTGGCCGCTCAACCCTAGATAACCTCGCCCGACTAGAACAAGATATTAAGACAGGACAGCTAAATAAACAATATACCACAGGCATCTTCTTAGACTTCTCTAAAGCTTTCGACATGGTATGGCACGATGGGCTAATACAAAAACTTAAAAAAATAGGACTCAAAGGTCAGATAATAAACTACATCCAGGACTTCCTAAACAATCGTAAAATAACCGTGGGTATAGACCAAACTCTATCGGACCAATGTCCCCTAGAAAATGGTACTCCACAGGGCAGTATCCTCAGCCCCACCCTCTTCAATATAATGATAAACGATCTATTCGAGGGCCTATCCCCTAAAGTAAACACATCAAAATTCGCGGATGATGGAGCCATCTGGATCCGCACTAAAAGCATGAACATGGTCCAAAATTTACTCCAAAAATCTCTTAATAAAATACAACAGTGGGCTGACAAATGGGGCTTCTCCCTTAACTCAGAAAAAACAACAGGAATAGTATTCAAACATAAAAACATGAAACCTGCCTCCCCAATCCTCCAGCTAAACAATCAAACAATCAAATTTCAAAAACAAACCAAATTCTTAGGACTTATTTTCGATGAACATCTCACCTGGGATGCTCACATCCAAAACCTAACAACTAAATGCAGTAAAGACCTAAACACCCTAAGATGCCTAACTGGCTCTAACTGGGGAGCATCCAAAGATACCCTCCTCTCTCTCTACATATCACTAATTACATCAAAACTAGACTACGGCTGCGCCATATACAACACCCTAAACAACTCTCTATCTGAAAAACTTGACTCAATACAATATCAGGCTCTCAAACTAATTACACGCACCCAACATGGCACCTCCTACACCTCACTTCAGGCCTTAACAGGAGAAATGCCACTAAGTCTACGCAGGGAACAGCTAAGCTTAAATTTCTGGGCCGCGTCCCAATCAAACCCTCTCATCCAAAACTTAATAAACCAAAACATCAGCCCCAAAAACCAAGCTCTAGCTCGTAAACACCCCTTACTTACCCCAATATCCCAAAGAATAACAAACTACCTAAATGAACACCAAATTAAAAATCTTAAACAAAACTGCAAACAATCAAATATCTTCACCCCTAAACTTAAAATACCCAAAATAGACACAACACTAGCTAGCCAAATAAATAAACAAACCGACCCAAACATAGCTAAAACTACCACACTAGCATACATACACGAAAATTGGCCAAATTGGTGTCACATTTACACGGACGGATCCTCAGATCCGACCTCCAAACACACAGGTTTCGGAGTCCATACCACACAACCAACTAAAACCACACAATCCTTCCGACTCCCAAACAACCAATCAATATTCACGGCAGAACTAATGGGCATGGCCTCAGCCCTCCATAATCAAGAATCCAAAAACCACAAAAAAATCCTAATACTTACCGACTCCCTAAGTGGACTGCAAGCCCTCCAAAACAAAAATACCAAAAACCGACCTAAATTAATAAATCAAATACTTAAAAGCTCCAACGACCTAACTAAGGCAGGCAAACAAATAACCTTCTTGTGGATACCCGCCCACGTAGGAATATACGGTAATGAAAACGCCGATAAAGCAGCTAAACTATCCCTCAAAATCCCAGAAATAAGCTTAAACTTACCCATCTCAAAATCAGAAATTAAAAGTGTAAACAAGCAAAAAATCACCAAAAAATGGCATAACCTATATCTAAACTCAAATAGCCAAATCAAAAAAGTGCTCAGCAAACCACTAACCAAACCAAAAATTCTCCATCCATCCAAAAAAATCGACAGAGTAATCACTAAACTCCAAACAGGACACACCAACCTAAATAACCACCTAAAAAAATTTAAAAAACACACTACAGGTAACTGCCCACACTGCAAACAACCAGAAACCCCAGAACACGCACTCATCCACTGCACACACTACCTAACACATCGAACCGCATTACAAACCACCCTCAATCTAAACAAGGCTCTAACTCTAGAAGCAATACTAAACCCACAAAATAAACTAGAAAACTTCAAGGCCTTAGGCGTATTCTTAATAAAAACGGAACTAATAAAACGCATCTAAAAACACAATAACTCACCAAATCAAAATCACATAAACAAACAAACATCCACCATACCCAGCTCCCTTAGTTCTCCTCCCCAATCCCATCGGCATCTATTCCAAATCTCAAAATTCCCAAATTCTATATAAGCAACCCCTAAAACCCCCCTCTTGGGTTGCACAGACCACCTTCGCCCCTTTCGGAAACACATTAAATGGCCTGGCCGGGCCCGTGTGCGAAATACGCATCAGTCGGAAAGCGCACGTTAAATCTCCAAAGTAAGTAAGTAAGTAAGTAAGTGAACTGAACTGTCCGAAAGTTTATATCTAAAATTTTGGAATTGGATACAGTGATAAAGTCTTATATCAATATGTAGACTCATAAATATTGGTTTTATGTTTCAACGGAGATATTTTCTTATGAAATATCGCGTATTAGTGTAATTTGCATGCTTTACCATTCATTGTACCATTCTAAACCATGTGAATGTTGTAATATCAGTCAATCGGGTTGGAAAACAGCCCAATCCTCGCTCTATAAAGGACTATGTCAATCATTTTGCGAGTTGAAATGACCCCTGATACTTTATGACAGTTTATGGAGTCAAAATCAATGCTGATTATTCATAAACTTAATGCTTCGTACTAAAGGCCTGTGGCCTCTTCAGTGCTTAATAAAGATTGAAAATACATCAGTTAATCAAAGATGAAGGTAACTTTATACATCAGAGTTCTAGGGTATTAGTTCATGTTTTGTTCTTAGACTAACATTTCAACCATCGATTGTGTTCACATGTAGACTCAAACTGGTATAATAAAAAAATGTATAGACAACAACAACTGTATTAGAAACAACAAACACTGTAGAGACTCTTGTCTCCCATCCTTTGTTTGGTATGATTATGTCTTATGATTATTGTAGGATGGAAGGTACAGTTACCAAATAAAATATGCTGAAATATCAATTCATTATGACCATATTTCATAATCTATTTTTTAAAGTAACCCTCCTTACATCAAAGATAACTATTTAAAGAATATAGTACTTAAAGACATTGCAACGAACCGAATAATCAGGGGGGAGACTTTATACTGAGGGGGGCGCGAAATATATCCGCCCGGGGGAGATTTTATTTCAGAACAGATTCTCCGGGGGAGAATCTGCACCGATATAAAATCTCCGGGGGGAGAATTTGTACGGGGGAGAGTTTATACCGGGACACCGGCATTGTCGTCATGTGTGGTTAATGAAGATTTATTTGTCCTGAAAACACGTGTACCACGTGTACTTGGTATACTTAGTGCACGGCAAAAGTGAATGTGCAAAGTGCATACCGCATTCGCCGTAATAAGATACATTGGCGCTGATTAATACCATACACAACTGAGATCGAGATCGAAACATATTTCAATATTCGACGAAACTAGAACTATTTCGATGATAGTTACTCCTCCACAACTACTTGGCTGCTGTGTTTTTAAGAAACCTGTAATATATACAATAATATATGAACTGTGATATAACGTTTCAGTCTTAGAAGGGGAAGCTTATTGATATTACTTACAGGTGGGTCTGGACGTTGGTCTGTGGCACTTATTTGAGAAGGGCGCTTAAAACGGGGAATACGGTAGTTGATAGTCCATGGTTAGTCCTGCACCATGACTGTGGAATATGTTTATTTTCTGAATTAAAGCCCAATCTAGATATGAAAAAGCAAAAAAAGCAGGTATAGCCAGCTCAAGCTAGCTCTAGACCACACCATGAGGAAAACTATTTGTTTAATTTTAGAGGCGAGAAGAGTATTGTGTAACATAAAATTGCATGGACTAAAGGTTAGTCTAAGTCCAAGGTCTATTCTGTAGTGTGCAAAGGTCACGGCGCATTTCATTGAGTTTGGTCTTGTGCCAGATTGAACTCTCTTCATCATTATGGTCAAGCCATTGTCTTTCTACAGGCAAATGTTTGATGTAAACAATAACGTGCCAGTTACACCATAATTGACGAAATTCGACTGATTAATAACATTAGGACTACTTCAATGTACACCTCGATCTAAATCTTGTTTCTTGGTCCAGAATCGATTATTTACAGGCAGTTAAAATAAAGGGGGTATGCAACAAAAACACCAAGATATGCAATGTAATAAAAAAATAAAAAATAAACAGCAGCAGTAATAGTAACCCTAACACAGACACCCATTGTACTAGGTACCAATGTTAAATTCATACTCTTCCATGGTCTTTCCAATTCCGGCACTGATTGAACCGCACTGCATCGGGTTCCAGAACTCATTTGTGCAAAAATCGGTTCCACTATCAACATCTCTTCGCGAAACTTTATACACATACATGTAATAATGTACGAGATGCGCATTTTGCTGTCAATTTCACTCAGAAAACTGTGCCCCTGGCCACTTCGTGACTGCTCATAGTAGTGATTATGAGTGAGTGAGTGAGTGAGTGAGTGAGTGAGTGAGTGAGTGAGTGAGTATGGGTTTATCTCTTTTTTAGCAATATCCCAGCAATATCACGGCGGGGGACACCAGAAATGGGCTTCACACGTGCCCATGTCGGGAATCGAACCCGGGTGGTCGTCGTGATGAGCGAACGCTTTAACCACAAGGCTACACGACCGCCCCTAGTGATTATTAAAGTCACAAATGTTTTCACATTAGTTTGGCGGCTGTAGTTCCAAGTTCAGCAGGCTATGTCAAATATCTTTCTGCATCTATAATTGCGTAAAAGGGGCGGTGGGGCAGCCTAGTGGTTAAAGCGTTCGCTCGTCCCGCCGAGGAGGCGGGTCGATTCCCCAGTTAGGTGCAATGTGTGAAACCAATTTCTAGTGTACCCCGCCGATGTTGAGAGGACATTGCAAAAAGCGTCATAAAACTATACTCACTCACTATAATTGCGTAATAGTCGTCACAGCAACTGACAGAAATAAGACGTTGTTTGTTATCTGCGCTTTAATAAAAACATGTGCACAGTCTAGTTTGTCACAATACCTGCACTATATATAATGTATGACATTATTTTATTGGCCACGGAAAATGATGAAACGAATGTTCATTTTATGATTTTCAATTGTTGAATACATTGTTCCAAGCTGAAATATCGTTCTGCAACCATAACGTTCTTTAATAATATGAATATAGTATGCTAATCGAGCTCCCGTGTAATACTAGTTTTATGGAGTTTAGTAGTTTAATTATTATTTGCAGTTTATAACGTTTCTAGAATTTGTGAATGTCGTGTGTGAATAAAGACAGACACCTATGTGATCCACAGCAAAATCCAATTGAGTTTAACAAAATGATAGCTCAATATTTGTTCGTGAAACCATTCGTCACCACTCGCTCCTTTCCGTAACCTGCAAGACGACTCGTCCCCATATCAATGAATGTTAGGTGCGCAAATACGACATACCAATCAGACCGCGCGTATGACTTCGTACGACAAGTACTTCGGTTAGGAGTCCCTTAGGAATAATGTTTGATTTTACATATGTCTTGCATTAAACAAATTACCCAAGATACAGTTAAACGTGTTCAATTATACTTTATACTATTGTAAGCCCCGATGTGTTTCCAGTATTATCTGGAATATATATGATATAAGGGGGACATTATTACGCAACGAGTTGACAATTCTTTTAGCTATGCCGGTATGCTCTTAGACGGAATCCAGTCGCAAAAATGGCCACGAGAGGGGCACGAGTCCCTTTTCGGCTTGTCCCGGAGCTGGTCACGAAAGTCGTGAAAGTTGTTCCCGCAGTACATTAGTACACCTTTAGGTATTACACAATGTGTACAGCTTCATGTTTAATAACGGGTAATCTCATCACGGGCAAGAAATAAAGAAAACATCCTTAACAGTATTTTCCCAATAACAACATCAAACCGACTGTAACAGCATCACATCAATCAAATAACTCACTTGCATGTTATTTATGCATTTACCTGTACCATTCCGAATCTCAATAAAATAAAACATTTTTTTACTCTGATGCGTTTTATTCTGACATCTCCACAGTTGGTCGCGTCATGTGTACCCTGTGTAACCTTTGACCGTCCATTTTAGCATAAGGATGCGCGGGTTCTTGAGTCAGTGAGATGTCATCTTTATAAAACGTTGATGTTTTATTCCTTTTCGATTCGGGCACGAGTGGCCCAGTCGTTTAAGGCGCTGCAATTCCCTGTTCAGATTTGTGTCCGTCACCTGTGATCGTGTCTTCGAATCCCGGTTCGCCTGATTATGTTTCTAGGTTTGTCCGTACCATAGGTTTGTCGGTGGGTTTCACCGAAATGGTAAACGTCTGAGACCTGCATCACTTCGGGCTTTCCTCCCACATTAAACCGACACGCCGTGATACTCACTGCTCTGTCACAAAAAAAAAAAACACGCAGGACACAAATATGCCTTAAGTTTGATGATGCTCCCTATTGAGAGTAGTTGCCTAGGAGCTAGCAATGACAGAGTATTTAAAATATTCACAGCAATATGGCGCCGTATTCATTCTGTACATTTGGAAAAAGGTCGTTTCGAGATGCAGAAGTCAGATACGCTGATCTGATTACTTCACTCACTCATACTGATAATTTAGAAGCCTCGAGGCTCATTGGTAGATCAGAAATCGTACCTGTAGGTATCGTACCAGAGTGAAAGATCTGATTTCAATGCCGATATTGATACCATTCCCGGCTTTCTGTTTCTAGATGCTGTCCCAGATGGTTTAACCATGGATACATCAAATCGCAGACTTTTCTACACTGATGCTGGAAACCGCATCATTTGGGGTGTCGACTTAGATGGTCGCCACGCAAGTGAAGAAATAATTAACAAGGGCCTTGAAAATCCTAGAGCTATAATTGCATACCCCTCAAAGAGGTAAGCATAACACAGTTTTTCAATTGTATGGCAGTCGTACATACCTATTCCAGGAACAGTTTATAGAGACATTACATCTTGGAGTTGGTGTGGTTAGTGGACTTTGGATGTCACGAACACATTCTGAGAGTCGTATAGTTTATATTCATAATGAAGGGTATGTGAGTCAATTAGGATTAACGCCGCAATGAACATGTACAGTATCTCAGCGATCTCATGTGTTTACCACTCTGATAAAACGCAAACCCATTCACCACCACTTCTGTATTTTCATTTTCAGAATCTGTTTATCGCTTGGAAATATCCCCATATGAAGTTAATCTATGGGGCAAAAAATCCGAGAAATTGTCAGCCAAAAAATTACTTTGTTAGAAGGTGTATACCTTAAAAAACAACAACACATTTTCTGCCTCATAGTTTTCATCTGGCCGTGCCATTGTAACCGAAAATATTTTAAATCTCCATGCCAGAAAAAATGGTCGGTTCCTTTGTTTGATAAATATCCAAGATATCCATCCATATGATACAGAGAAGAAGAAGCAACTGAGCTTTCCTTTAGCAATTATAACACATATAATCATCATAGATAATCGATTTCTTTTTCTATATTTCAAAATGAGTATGTCCCTTTCTGAAAAGCATTGAAAAAGGATTCGATTTGAAAAAAAGTAAAACTATTTATTTGGGAAATATATACAGGAAGCGGTCCTTAACTCTTCTCAGCTTTATATAATGTCAATCATATGTACCTGGCAGTCGAGAAGAGTTGCATCCCGAGTTTCGGTATTTGGTTAACATCAAAACATTCCAATAATTTATCTCTTCAGTTATGTTTACTTATTATATATGTCCCCAGGTCCCGACCAGAGCACTGTGGCGGGAAATGAAACAATTGTTTCAAAACAATGTAACCTCTTGTGTCAAATACACATCACAAACAGGAAGACACTATCAACACCGAAACACAATATCATTGGGCGTGATCTTCGTGCAGGAATATGATACTCTATTGTGAAGTTCACTCTATTTTCATTGTCGCTGATGAATTATGTCAAACAAATGTTATTGTTTTCTGTTTGGTAGACTCCTGATATGGACCGACTGGGCGGTTTGGGCTAAGATAGAACGGTGCAATTATGATGGCAACGATCGCAAGACACTTGTTAACACCGACATCGAATGGCCAAATGGGATCACTCTTGATGAAAAAAGTATGCCTACATCAAAACATATTTCGTGTAACTATAAAATTAATAAAAAACGAATAGCCTGGTGAAAGTTCCGTTTTGCGTTATCGTCAATAGCTATAACACATCTTCGATATCACTTACAGACAATAAGTGATTGTATAGAAACAAATAAATTGTCCAAGAAAACTTTTAAAAAAATAGCTATGCTTTAGCTTGTTGAAAGAATTAGATTGTCTGCCACAAAATACATTGTTGCAATGTGGGTTTTGTAAAAGAATATTTAGGCTCATAGTTTTATATATAAAAATATCTGGTCAGCTGAAAAAACATATCCTGTCTTCATACAACAGCCCCCCCCCCCCCCCCCCCCCCCCCCCACCACCACCAATAGTCGGCCTATATTAGTAATAATAGAATAGAATAAGAGATCTGAAGGCACCAATCCACCAATAACAGGAATGCTGCGGCAAATATGTGTTTGACTAGAAGTGGAAAGGCTTTATTGCGATCATGCGATCAACATATTTATAACTGAGGAAAACACTTCCTTTAGTTTATGGGGAATCACAATATAAACAGAAACGTGACGGTAGTAGTGCAACAGAAACTACGAACATAAGGCTATCATGAGCAACCCATGCTAGTGTAAGGCGGAGTATAGGGTATGTGTCATCACGAGTCCGGATATCGATACTGGAGCTGAAACTATACGTGCTACGTTACAGTGATCTGATGCTGACAGTTACACTAAATTGGGATGCCATCCTGATAATTAAATATTTTATTGCCCCGGGGACAAGGCCCCAGGTTATGCTCACAGAATTTAAATGAGCCTGTCCCAACCGACCAATAACACTTATATTGTTATACTGTGTTCCTTGTGATATCCTAAACTGGCTTCATAAGCGTCGTGTGTTGTTTATCTCACAATTTTAGTCACTCACTCACTCAACGTTTCCTTAGTGTATACTCGAGAGCAGGAACAATGATTCACATGACAGGAAAGGTTGTAGGATTTCACGAGGATTCAAAAGTATGTGTCATGTCCGCCTCTATTGTTACACATATGTATATGGTGACATCCAACGCACCTCCGTTTTTCTCCTAAAGCGCGACTAGTGTCTATACAAATTATTGACTCGTTTTGATTATCAACCCTAGAACGATTTGTAAAACATATCCTGATATATTAAGTAAATACGAGGAATCATAATCTTATCCCTTCCTGTTTATCTTAATCACGTTTTGTTTTCTAAAGATGTTTTTTTTTCTCATGGCATTAATGAAAGCAAACGAACAATGGTACAAACGAGATGATGTAAATAATAACAATAATTATAATAATAATAGTAGTTGTTGTAGTAGTTTTAGTCCCATTTATTATTATAATCATTATCATTAAAATTATACGTTTCCATATTGTAGGCGACACAGTGTACTGGTGTGATGCGGAGAAACACCGTATCGATTCAGTCAAACTTGATGGTACAAACAGGAAGCAGATCCTTGATGAACCAGGCACTCATTACTTTGGTCTGTTCTTCTTTGAGGAAACACTGTACTTAACGGACTGGAAGACTAAGTAAGTCTACAAACTAGTCCAGTTACTATCTGGTTAGTGTTGTGCAATGAGAGTCGCAATAAGGCCTGTTGTGATGATGGTGAACGTGAACATGGCTAAGTGACTTCCTTGTCACTGAGAGGTAAAGGAAAGTGCCTTTTAAAAACATACGCTATATTGTGAACGGTCCGTGAAAACTCAACATATCACTTAACATCTTGTCTTTCGGCTGAGATTAAGAAATCAGTAGGTTTTTAAAAAAAAAATCCTCCGAGCATGTTAATTTTAATACAAACACCATAAGTGTAAGTGGACGGTTATGTATCATTAATTTACCCTAGGCCAAGCCCCATAACGGACTACTGTTTCATGATTGGTTGACAATAGAATGGGAGGGGCTTGTGTTGCATTATCACGATGTCACTGGGTTTGTACTGTTGTCAACAATTAATTTTGTCTTGATTAAATAAGCAGTCTGTGAAGTGGTATTTATTTATAAGAATTGATTTCAATATTGTTTTTTCTCTCCATTTATGCAGTTATAAACGTACAGTAAAACCCTGTGGTGACACTTTGTGTGTCGATATTTGCAAAATGCTCGCCGTTTTGTTTATGTTTATACTTCATAAACGCAAAAGATATAAAGTATCTCCTGAAGTACACATCTACATTTAACAGCCATTTTTACATCGATGCTCTATCATGGGCTTCATATCAATTATTCTCTTTTTATAGTGCTGTACGAGCAATATATCTCAATGGAACTGAGAAGATGAGGATTTCTGCCGGAGGCTTCAAGCAACTCACTGGCATTTATGTCACCAAATTGTCGCGTAAGTTGTGTACACGTTACTCCTGTGGGGGATTCAATGTCAGAATTGGTCCCCAGAGCCCCAGAGCCCATCACCTACCCCGACCCCGATGCTTTCAGTCACTGTACAGTCCACCTTAATATATTAATATAGCTGGGCTACTGGGGAAGAAACATTCACACGTTAACATCTCAAAGAAAGCAGGAAAAGAGTGAGTGAGTGTGGTCTAACACAGCTATAAGCAATATTGCAGCAGTTTCATGGCTGGTGACGTCAGAAATAGGCTTCACACATCGACCCCATATGGGAATCCAAACTGGGTCTTTTGCGTGATGAGCAAATCCTTTCCCAGTGGGCTACCTTACCGCCCCAGTAGGAAAAGAAAGCTTGAAACTAGGGTTTGTAATTATATGCGTATGCAAAGAACAATTTTAGAAATACCAATGTGACAAACAATAGGTTTAATGACTTCAAGACGTGTTTGACGATTTTGAGAGTGAAGTTGAAAGTTTTATTGTTGTCATCTAAATTCTATATTTCTAAATGATGTATGATTGCCAGAAACTGTTCATATTATTTTGGCTTTACTATATGTATGTTCAACAGGGTGCTCCCCACACACATATGGAGAAAACTGTGACACTCAGTGTGGCGAGTGTGTGGATGGTGTCGCGTGTACCAGGACGACAGGGTTGTGTACTGAGGGCTGCAAACAAGGCTATTACCACGGAAGTACAGATGGTATGTTGTGGCAAATATGATGCGTGTTGAATCGGTAGGGATGACATCATAACCTCGTATCTATGATCACATGAACTCGACCTACATGAATCAGCAAATCACTAATCGTACATTATACAACACGCAGTGCTATAATATGTACCTCGTAGTTCATGAAGGTTTCGTTTAACTAATAGTTAACTAATACTACGGTAGTATGTGAGTGAGTAAGTGAGTTGGGTTTAACGCCGCTTTTAACATTATTCCAGTTATATCACGGCGTGTCAGCTTAATGTGGGAGGAAAGCCCGAAGTGATGCAGGTCTCAGACGTTTACCACTTCGGTGAAACCCACGAGCACGGGTATGGTGCTGACAAACCTAGAAACATAATTTGGGGCGAACCGGGATTCGAACCCACAATCATGGGTTTCTGGCGTTCCCAAGGGACGCCACTCTGCACAGCGAAACGCTGCGCCTTAGACGACTGGGCCACCCGTGCCCCCGGTAGTATGTGAAATGCTGAATCGAAAACATGTTGACTCATTGATCAATTCTTCATGACCTTTTACATCATCTGGTGCGCCGACATCGCTAAACCAAAACATTGTAAATTATCCCTGACTAATTATATTAAAATTGTAAAATTCTAATCAGTGATAACACTTTTGAAGGGTGACTAACATGCCCGTTAAGCATGTGATCTCGGTCTTCTTAGTATGTTGATGTATTTGAGCGGTCCTAGAAGGGGTCGTTAATAGGGCACGGATGGTACAGTGATTACATAGCTTCAGACCATGATCCGCTAGTCGTGGGTTCAAACTCCAACGATCAGGATCACGGATTTGTCTGCTAGTACCCGTAGGTTTCACCAAAGTGGTAAAAGTCTACGCCGTGGACTATTATAAATAGTACAGTAAGTAAGCGTAATGGTTTCGTTTTGATGACCATCGTATTGTTTTTCAGAGGCTCCGGTGTACAACTTCTCCATGTGTAACAAGCAATGTGGTCATTGCCAGACCGGCTCCTGTCATTACCTGTCTGGAGAGTGTCCTTACGGCTGCGAGAAAGGATGGAGTGGTCAGAAATGCGATACAGGTACATTTTACTGCCATTCATGGTATTCACACTAAAGTACGATGTCATTTTAAGATGTTAGTCGAAAAGAAAGTATAAATAAGTCATTCTTAAGTCTATTAATATTCAAAAGCGAAATATTAGTTTCGGAAAAATTCTTGCATCCTCGTTTTATTGCTTACCACCGAACACTCGTTTGTGAGAAAAAAAAGGAGAAAATATACAGTATCTGAAAAAAACGTTGATTCAAAATATATATTGGGATCAATGAGTGTGTTTCAAACGTTACCAACCGCCCCTGTGAAGGTTAAAGACACTTGTGATCGAGATTTGTGATATGTTCCCAAAAATGTCTTTTCCTGTACGGATTCGATTTTTATGTTTTATCATTTTTGGAAGTCGATGTTCTTTAACACTTGAAATTAACGCCTCCGCAAGGTTAAATACTCACTTGAATGATAATTTTTTATATAGTTCGTCCTTATATGGGTTCTGAACCTGGGACCCGTTAACATCTAGGTCTTCAGCAACCCATGCTTGCCGTAAAAGGGGACTATGATTGTCGCGACTAACGTCATCGGTAGGACAGGCTCGCTGACTTGGTTGATGCATGTCATCGTATCCCAATTGCGTGGATCGATGTTCATGACGTGAATCACTGGACTGTCTGGAATATTGTATTTAGGAATCGTATTAACGATATGGTTATCTGGTTGGAGGCAGTAAAGAGCATGTATTTCCCAATACAGAGGGTAATTCAAGCAAGAGTTCGTGGTGGTTCAGACAGGAATTCATGGTGGTCTCAATGTAAGAGAATGTATTGTGCCTTGGGGAAATTGCGGTGTTTCTGTCTTTTTAGTACTTTTTGAACACCCTTTCTAGTTTATTTAGGTTTTTAACTCTATGTACGGCTATGATTTCGTCGTCATGGAAACGGTGATGCTTGAAACTTCAGATTTAATATGTTTTCAGTAAGACATGCAAGTGGGCGATTTCATGCATGCATGCATGTTTGTGTCGCTATATGAACGATATAGTAAAAGTCATACATGCTTGTGTTTTGCAGAAACTATGGTAACACAGGAAACCAGTACATCGACGTCCTATATATCAGCGACTACTCCGCTCCGCTCAAGTCAAGTCGACAATGTAACCACTACGTGTGGTAAGGTGGGTTACTATGGCGACGGATGCAAGTACAGGTGTGGTGCGTGTGCTGACAATGCTACCTGCCACGGCCAAACTGGGGACTGTCCACAACACTGTGCTTGCGGATGGGAGGGCAGCAAATGTAACGAGAGACGAAAAGGTACGTGTATGAAATCCCCAGGGAAATTTATTTGGATACCTTCAGCTGCATCCTGCCACACTAGGAAACTGACCATGAACTTCAACGGTTGAAGCAACTGATTTTGTTTGTTAATTTAAGTCATCTCTGTGCCAAAGAAAATATACTATTTACTGACTTCCATTCGGCAAAATGTCATTATTCAATAATTATGTTTGCATACAAGACATGTCGTTCTAACAAATATTAACAGAGACCCTTGCATAGAGCCTCATTTAATATTGTGACTTTGTGCACGTACATATACTGCTTGAAGAATTAGAAACACAGAAAATGATAAATTTTGAGTATATCTAAAAACAAAATTCAGTGATTCTTATCACGCATTTTATTTGCCACACATGTTGCAAAGTAAGAACTTATTATTTCCATGTATTGAATTTTCTTCCATCAGACCTCCAACGAAATTGCCGTCAAGTGATGAAAGCCGTGGCTAGCAAAGTTACTTCAAAGGCCACAGAAAAGATTGGTAAATGCCAGCACTGATTATGAATACATTGAGAACTTATGAATAAAGACTCATCACGCGATGACTGTCTTATATTTTGTCCAAACCTCATCAATCGATGAACTGTTTGGGTCAGACTTGATTTCCAGGCAACTGTGATTTGGCCTGGGCTATCGCGCACTACATCAGCTCACATGCTCACCCATGTAAAGTAAATGTAAAATTCAGATATTCTTCTACATGTATATTCTGTTCACAAATAGTACAACATTTCAAATTTTCAAAAAATTCAATACATAAACCAGTAGATATTGTAATAAGGAGAATGCATATGATGTTTTCAGGTGATGCAATGGCAGGGATGATTGCTGTAACAGTGGCATTGTTGATTGTGATTATAGTATTGATTGCATATATCATGAGGTGAGTTGCTTCTAAGGGATAAGTAAATATTGAATGTCAACGCCAGAAAACGCCTGGGATTTTGTCGAAAAAGTAAATTGTCCCAGTAAACACTTATGCTTCAAACTGTCGAAAAAAAGAAACTGTCTGCCAAAAACAGGCACACACACTTTGTTGCAAGAGACTTTGTTTTTTTAAATTTTGATTTTAAAGAATTTATGGTCAAATTCATTTACATGCGGACATTACGTTTTGCAGCAATCCCTTGTGTTTTGTATTCTAGGTCTCGACAACTTAAAGAAAGGCAATACGACAATCTGCAGTTCAACAATTCAAGTGGTACCGCAAGCATCGCCGAAGAAAACCCTGTGTACTCTTTAGTCAGTGAGGCACCATGTGGACCAGAACAGGAGACAAACACCAATTCGCAGCTTAATTCCCAGCCCGATGTTCTCCCAGGAAGCGACAAACGCTGTTACGCAGACAGCGATGATGAGGAAGATGAGGAAGATGAGGCTCCAGACAAATCAAGCGACCCTGCATACGCATCACTGCAGTTCGGGATCGGGAACGAATGAAAGAAGACTTCAAATTGAAAATTTCGCGCTCGCTGTTTTCTGAATTGTGATCTCGTGTCGTAGTGCTTTGAGATTGAGTTGGGTTTAACGCTGCTAGTAACACTATTCCAGTTATATCACGGCGTGTCAGCTTAACGTGGGAGGAAAACCCGAGGTGATGCAGGTCTAAGACGTTTACCACTTTGGTGAAAACCACGAATACGGGTCTGGTGCTTGCAAATCAAAAAACCAAGATTCTAACCCACAATTGTAGGTTTTCGGCGTGTCCAAAATGCTGCGCCTCAAACTACTGGGTCATCGTGCCTCATAAGCCTTCTGTAGTGAATTGAATTCTAGTGTACAGTGACTTGTGAATTTCACATAAAATTTTAAGGGATATAGCGCCATATAGTTCTTTAAAAACTTGAAAATGTCATAAATGTAAACAATTTGTATAAACTTTGACTTTGACTTTTTACACAGAATATCTGAAGATAATTAGTGTCCTCATTTATTTTTCATCTTAATTGGGATAAAGATTTAATTAATAATGTACATCTTTGTATACATCTGACCAACTGTTTTTTTGTCACATTATATTATTTACATAAGTTAAAACCATTGTTTTATATGTACAAGAATATTCGGACCCGTGCAAATCCGGGTTAGAATTGTTCTTCAGCAACCCAGGCTTGTCCTGTAAGGCGACAGACGGGATAGGGTGATCAGGTTCGCTGACTTGGTTGATACATGTCATCGTTTCTCGTTTGTGTAGAACGATGCTCATGATGTCAATCACTGGATTATCTGGTACAGATTCAATTACTTACAGACCGCCGTCATATAACTGGATCACTGCAGATAGCGGTGTCAAACAACAAAAAAGCAAATCGGAAATGTTTAATAGAAAGTAGTTTTCTACTATTTATTTGCAATTTGTAATGCCAATCCAAATTTAAGAAAATAGTACAGAATATAATTCTATTCTCTGTGGATATGTAACGCATGTTCAGTTCGTAGTTATTTGTTCATATTTAAATTGTTGGGTTTTGAATACGTTCAGACCTCCGAACTAAATTCTTCGAAATAATCCACTCAACGTTATAACTGAATTCGCCTATACAGTAGTTTCTCAAGCTTCCATGTCTTATATCTTATATCCGACATTTGAAGTTACGTTTGAGAAATGTTATACTCTGTTTACTTTACGAACCCACAAAAAGACACAGCTGCTGTTGATAATATATCATTGCCAGTAATAAGAAATAATACGTCGTGCCCTGATAACACTTCAGTAGGAATTTGTGACAGCATATCCAAGGTTCCATTATCTAAACTATGCATGGCATGTTTTCTCACCAAGTGCCATGTTGCAGAGTTCATGTAGAAATATGGCTACGCTAATTAATACATTTTTCGGTATGCATATTTGAGGTATGCATATATTTATCTATGTGATTCAGTATTACAAAGTAACTGTGATGCCAATTGTATCATGTACATAGTCACGATTGTATATTAATCAAAAGCCCTTCACTTTTGGAATAAACTAGGAATTGCCTACCAGGACATTATATTTTATGTTCCTTTTGCAAAATATGCACCCCTACCGTTATAATTGACATTTAGTATTAACTCTTCTATATTAATGAAAATGTAGTTTTACGCAAATGCGTTTTTCTATTTTTCTATGGCAGTGCTCGACTCTGCTTTATGCATAGATTTCTATTGGCTATGGAAAGGGCTTTGTCGCTTTGTTATTAGCAGTTTTACACAAATGTATTGATTCGATGTTGATTGCCTTTAATAATACTCTCATATATCTTCCAGTGATTAATAGTCAGTGACTGAGTATGGTTTTACGCCGCTTTTAGAAATATTCCAGCAATATAACGGCGGGGGACACTAAAATGGGCTTCACACATTGTACCCATGTCGGGAATCGAACCCGGGTCTTGTGACGAGCGAACGCTTTAAACACTAGGCTACCCGACCGCCCCTAGCTAACCCTAATATGCTTATGAAAATAATCCAATGTCTGTTACAATACATTGTTAAATTTAAACTGTTTTTGCTACTTTTGTAGCAACATGTATTACGTATATTTGTGCCAACATAGCTATGCATTTTGTACTACTCACGTTTGTCTTTTTCATATTGATGTGCAATTTTAGACCAATGACCCCCAAATAATGCAAGTAGCTTCGAGGAGCACAACATCATGTAAATATAATACCTCACTCAAACCAAAGCATCTGCTTCGTTACAACGTTGTTTTTATGGAGGATGCTCTTGAAACAATTTCCCTGCCTAGTCATTCTGCTGATTGCCCTGTGAATGAATCATGTAATGCAAGTTAGTATTATCTGGTATTCAGCAATATAATTCAGTGTCGATCATAAGATTAATGTCCCTCACGACTTATTATAGGACATTTGTTATTGTTGTTTTTATTTATGCTACAGACATGTTTGAACATTATCATAATCTTAGGATTTAATCTACTTGTATAGAAATTCTTTAGTGTGTCATATAGATGGTCCACACTATCGTATTCTCAGAAAAGCTGAGATTAAATTTGAATCAGGATGTCTTTCAAATGTTATTAAATTATGATGTTTACTTACATGTGTATTACAACACTCAATATTGATTTTATGTGTTTACAAAAGTGCAATGTAAATAATCTGGGGAGCAAACTAAAATAAACCTACTTCTCCATGGTAAAATATAATTTGATCTAAAACTTAAAAAAAATAGAAAAAACATTTTGCATAGTACACAAATGCTGATGGGTATCTTTTACATTTTATCCTTCGAAATCACTACATTTGTCTTTTTCGGCACAAATTTACAACATTTCAAACATGGCAGGAGTCATGTGATTTCAAATTCATTTCTTACCGTAGTGGAACAGTTAGAACAATTTCTTTACACACAATTACCCAGCCACAGAATATTTATTTACAAACTATTGCAGGAATGAGTAATGGTTAAATGGACGTACTCAAATTTAATTAATTATTTTTTTTGTTTCAATTTTCAATTTAATAAAAAACAACCTCGTATAACTTTCTTTTGCCCCTCAGTTTATATAACGTCAACGCCAAGAATACCCTGTCTTGATTATCCACTAAAAACTTATACCGGTGGATGTAAAGGGAAAAATAGAGGTGAAAATGACATGAATGGATCACTAAAAATCAGTGATGACACCGTTCTCTTGTGTACGGTGGCCCATAAGGGACATGGAGTCTGTTTGTATGACAAATTGTGCTAATTTGCAAAAAGTTATGATAAAAGTAAGTGAAATATCAAAATATTGAAAAGCAGACTCCATGTCCCTGATGGGCCACCGTACTTGTGGTTTAATATGTACATAATGCGTCAAAAACACAATGACGGAACTTTCAATGAAAAACCAATACTTCTCTGTACGTTACATTTTCGGTAATAAATATTTTTGTATTGTTCTCTTGGGATCTATATATATATTTCAAGTCAAAACGTCAGTATGACCTCACATGTTAAAAATATCAACGATGAGGGACGGTAACTGAGAAGATAGTGGTGATTAAATTACCATGATCACAGTCTGACTCCACATAACCTCATTTATTTCAAATGTCGGAGAATGGGCTCATGTGTCGTCACGCTGTTCGAGGTGTAACAAATTATAACGGTACGCTGGCACTCATAGGGATGTGTAATAAGGACTGTTCATGACATATTTCGGGGGGGGGGGGGGGGGGGGGGGAGATTAGACCCCTCATGTATATTAGGGACTGCTCATGAGATATTTGGGGGAGGGATTGGTACTCTCATGTATATAAGAGACTGTTCATGAAATATTTGGGGGAGGGATTGGTACTCTCATGTATATTAGAGACTGTTCATTAGATATTTGGGGGAGGGATTGGTACTCTCATGTATATTTGAGACTGTTCATGAGATATTTGGGGGAGGGATTGGTACTCTCATCTATATTTGAGACTGTTCATGAGATATTTGGGGGAGGGATTGGTACTCTCATTTATATTTGAGACTGTTCATGAGATATTTGGGGGAGGGATTGGTACTCTCATGTATATAAGAGACTGTTCATTAGATATTTGGGGGAGGGATTGGTACTCTCATGTATATTTGAGACTGTTCATGAGATATTTGGGGGAGGGATTGGTACTCTCATCTATATTTGAGACTGTTCATGAGATATTTGGGGGAGGGATTGGTACTCTCATGTATATTTGAGACTGTTCATGAGATATTTGGGGGAGGGATTGGTACTCTCATCTATATTTGAGACTGTTCATGAGATATTTGGGGGAGGGATTGGTACTCTCATTTATATTTGAGACTGTTCATGAGATATTTGGGGGAGGAGTTGGCGCCAACATGCAGGTATATTAGGGGCTGTTTATGTGATATTTGGGAGAGGGGTTGGCACCCTCGTGTAAATTAGGGACTGTTCATGAGATATTCAAAGGAGGGAGGGATGGGGCACCCTCGTGAATATTATGGAACTGTTCATAAGGTATTCGAGGGAGTGGATTGGCACTCTCATGTATATTAGGGACTGTTCATAAGGTATTCGAGGGAGGGGTTGGCGCCCACATGTATATTAGGGATAGTTCATCATATATTCGGGTGAAGGGATTTTATCGAAATATTTTTCTGGAGTAAGCTTTTTCCCCACGTTCCGCAAACCAACCTTGTCTGTCTGACAGTCAGCGGTTGAACGCATCCACGATCCATCACGTCAGGGTATGATAAGTAAAAACATGTGATCCTCATATATTTGAACCACACAAACTATTACTTGTAATGTTTGCATTCTTGGGATCTCCAAGCGTTGTGCAAGAGCGAGTGAGTGAATGTAGATTAACGTGCCGTCAGAATAGTTCAGCTCTATCACAGTGACCTGTTGATAATCAAGTGTGAACAAGGCAAATCAGTGGTTGATATCATGAGCAAAGACCAACTGTAACCAAATAAACCTCTTTGAGATGTCGGGTTAGAATCCGCAGAAACATAGGCTGGTCGTAAGACGGTCGGTGATGAGGCTCGGTGCTTGGTTGAGCGTAGTGCTCTTACGACGTGGATCTTTGCTTACAGTATCAACCACTGGTCGGACTACAGGTCGCAGTGATTTAGCTGGAATATAGCTGAGCGCGGCGATAAGCAACACACAAGCGGTCGTTTAGTCGTATATCAAGACCTACATTTTAACAATAGGGTAATGTGTACCTTGTCTTCCTGATTGAAGAAACGGATAACTCCAAACAGAAAAGACCGCCTCCGTGGTCTAGTTGTAGAGCGTCCGCCCGGAGAGCGGAAGGTCCGGGGTTCGATCCCGGCCGCGTCATACAAAAAGACGTTAAAAGATTGTACTTGTTGTTACCCTGTCTGGCGCTCGGCATTAAGGGGCTAAAACAAGGACTGGTCGGCTCGGAGTCAGTATACTGTGTCTGAGTGGGGTATTCATGTTAAACTGCGGCATGGTATTTCAGTGAGCTAGCACTATAAATCGGCATCAGTCCGGACTAGTACAAGCAGCCACACAAACACATACACGTACATGCACGTCGCTATATAAGTGCAATAATCTTGGACGCGACGTTAAACCCCATTTCACCTCACCTCACCTCCAAACAGAAAAAAACCCATCTGTAAAAGACGAACACTAGATGTTAGCCCAGTTAACCATTGTTTTTTTAGGTGGGCTCTAGTTATTGCTATCATTAGTTGCCATTACCCCTGCCTATGTGACTGTTCTAAACACCATGCACCACTCCAACAGACATCCTGGGACCGGAAAGGCGGCCTCATAGCGTGATATTATTAAACATTTATGACTATTAATGTTCAAACAACACTGACATGTGACTAGACATCCGTTGCAACACGGCCCAGGCTAGGGCAATACCCTAGCACACAAAAGAGATTAATATTGAGGCATGGAGCTGTTCCCTTTCTCATGATGACACCGTCACAAACAACACAAGTAATCATATACTACGACACTAAAGCATCGTCAATCCGGACGGTATAAAGTTCTCAACGAAATCGTCCGAATTAACATAGTTCCATATAAACAAACCACCGGTGGTTTTCCTTTCATAGAGGTTACTGTTAAGTGTGTTTTCACTGTGACTGTGACGTTAAACAACATTCACCCTCACTCAGTGTACTTAAACAAAGGGAAAGGTCGTATAAACGGTTTCTGGCGTTAATCTGCTTGAGCATTTGTTACTGTAATGGACAACTGTACGGTGAGTGAGTGAGTGAGTGAGTGAGCGAGTGTGATGGTCATTTATATCACGTCGTGTCACGTTGAGATGCGTAGTAATCTGGAAGTGATGGAGGTCCGAGTGAGTGAGTGAGATGGTGTAACGCAACTGTTAACAGTTACATCACGTCGTGTCACGTTGAAGTGCTTGGTAAGCTTGAAGTGAGTGAGTGAGTGAGTGAGTGAGATGGTGTAGCGCAACTGTAAACAGTTATATCACGTCGTGCCACGTTGTAAGCGTGGTAAGCTTGAAGTGATGGAGGTCTGAGTGAGTGAGTGAGTGGGTGAGTGAGAGAGTGAGTGAGTGAGTGAGTGAGTGAGTGAGTGAGTGAGTGAGTGAGTGAGTGAGTGAGTGAGTGAGTGAGTGAGTGTATCGCAACTGTAAACAGTTATATCACATCGTGTCACGTTGACGTACGTGGTAAGCTTGAAGTGATGGAGGTCTGAGTGAGTGAGTGAGTGAGTGAGTGAGATGGTGTAACGCAACTATTTCTTAACCCATTGCTGGCATTCTTCGTATTTTTCAACCCGATTAGCCACGAAAGTTTGCATCATTGGCCGAATCATCACGAATTTCCAAAGTTTCCGATTCGGTGTCATTCGGGGTATTCGTGGTCGTGGTGAAAGGGGGGCATTAGAATACACCGCCAGCATGTTCCGCTGATTGTCACGATCCGATCATGTTGAACCTATATCATAGTTCTTCCTTTTTCATATCTTCTGCAATCATCGAATACCCCCTACATTATTTTCAGAGTATATAATATAACATCTAAAAGCTTACGAGTATATGTTTACAGCATATTAAATCGTCTCATAGATATTGCTTTGTGTAATGGGAGGTTTCAACACGTATATAAAGAATATCATCGCCGGCTCCTGGTATAAAACCTAACGCGGGACGCATAAAAACCCCATGTCACAGCCAGCTCTCTTTGATTTTATAAACACGATGTCACTTTCCAGAATATCGAAATTCTCGAATGTTCACTCGATTTCTCGGAAAACAAGTAAACAGTACACAGAAATAGGATGGTATCCGAATGCTTATATGTAACCCACAATATGATTTCCGAGCAGGATTTAAACTGGATGACAAGCCTGGACACCGTCCCTCTGACTAACATCAAAATACCCCTCAGTTCCCGATAGCTCCACGCGTCTTCTGTCGTAGCTGTCTGTACTGTTCAAAATCCTTAAAAGTAAAGTTTACACATCCGTATCACTTGCCCACGTTTCAACAAGGCATATAATGTCAGAGTTGCTTCTGTGATCTATGAAACATGATTTCTTAATATTTCGTCTGAGGCCTTCGATATTATACATGACACATTGCAACACCAACATCACCATCCAGAGTTGACTGATGTTGACTTTGGCCCGAGTTTTTCTGTACGTCGTTACTCACAAATGTCATAAGGAGCGACGTAAACAAGCATAGCTTCAGACCGGTCATTGTCCTTCTCGGCACGAACATCACGTGATTGTGCGTGGCGACTCGTCGTTGTGCTCTCTTCAGCATGAACGACATAAAACTAGCATGAAAACAACCGAGACGAGCTCTGTACGTACCCACACCATTGTATCATTCAGGTGTTTACAACATGGGAAATGTCTTTTCAGTCTTGAACTTTATCGGTAAACTTTGTAATTTTCACTGTTTGCCGGGGCTCTCTGAAAAAAACACTCACCCTCACAACCCACTAGGTGGCGCTTCCGCCTGGCCATAACTGGACAAATATATCGAAGTTAAAGTAGAGAGGGGAAGTTTTATTTTCTGAATGTGTTTTTTTTTCTATACGTGGCCACGAACATTTTGATTTAACCACGTAAATGCGTTTAGCTTTAAAAAGACCAGATTTACCTCGATAACATCAAGCAGTCCAGTCATGGGTTCAGAGTACGTGTACGTGTTCATGTTGGACCAACTCGAGCATATTCATCAATGACATAATTTTCTTTTGCCTTTCTTTACAGGGAGCAATTATAGCCCTGGTCAAGAAAAGAGTAAGTTTAGCGAAAAGCTACCAAATCACATAACCGGATTAATTATTCGTTTTGATGTTAGTATATATATTATGTT